CTGTTTATCAGTAATTAAAAAAAAGGGTTAATTGTCTGTCAAATACACGGAGATTTCCACCTCAGACAAGATACTGTCAATACCACTTTGGTGTTGCTAGATTCAAAAAGTCATGTTTAAAATGTTAGAGAATTATAAATTAGGCCTCTATCTGACATCCACATCCTCACAGAAATTTTTGAAATCTGTCTTCATTTTGTCCCTCATCTAGTTTTCCTCAGTCCTATGTGATCTCTCTCTTTTCCCTCATCACTCTCCTCTGTCTTTGTCCTTTGTCCCCTATCACTGCTGTTGAACTGTTTGAGCTTGTTAACCATCATAAACTAGGTTATTTGCTCAAATACCAAACTGATAAAAAAAAATAGGGCTGGTTTTGAAAGCATTGGGATAAATGTACCTTCTTGTTCCTTTCAAGTTACAGACCAATTTACAAACTCCCAATAATCTTAAAATTTCTAATAAAAGTTGTCTCCTCCCATCTCCACAGACATATCAAATAGTTTATACATGAAAGAGTTTGTTTGGTTTTCATCCCTAACATGTTACAGAAACAACCTTAATCAGGATCACTCTCGTTCATCCATTCTTTTTCTTCTCGACCTGTGTGCTGTGTTTAGCATCTTAGACCATCCTTCCCCACTGTCTGCAGCTCTACATTGGTTTCTAAGTGGTTAATTTTCAATGGTTTCACTCATCCCTCACCTCACAGAAGGGACTAAATGCATGGCCCTGGAGCTGGCAAAATCCAGACCTCACAAGTTTACCAGTGGGGTCCCACTGGGCTTTGTGTTCAAAACTTTGCTCTTTAACATTTACATGGTTCACTTTGATTTAGTTGTCAGTAGGCATTTACTTAATTTCAATTAATATGCTGTTGAAACACAACTCTAACTCAAAATCATCCACTCTAAATCCCTGCCAATGCTACTTGCCTTTGCTCCTGCCTAGAGGAGATTAAGGATGCATCAATTGCAGCAAAAAGGCTCCAAAACAGAAGCAATTCTACCTGGAGTCCCTCAATAACTGCTCTATTCCCCTATCACATCTGTCTCCCAATTAAGTCATACTGTTCCCCTCTCTCCTGATGTTACTAACCTGGGAATTATCTTTGACCCCTAGCTCTACTTACAGTAGCCATGTTGCCTCCTTTTGCAAAACTTCTTCTGCCACCTCCTTCACACTGTTATCCTTATCAGGATTCCTGATAGGAACCTTTAAAAGCTCCAGTGCTTTCAGAAATGCTCAGTAAGGGTTCTGATGGGGTTAAGGAAGAGCAAACACTTCAACCCCATTCCCAGCATACTCCACTGACTTCCTGATCACCTCTATATCAAGTAAAAAATTCTCCTGTACACCTATAACTGTAGCCACACCACCTACCTCGCTGAACTTCTATGCTCATCATACAGGAGCTAGTCAGGCCAACTGCACCGTCTGCTCCTGCTAAGAGCACAGCTCAAAATGATGGACGGCAGAGCTATTGAACCTGCCGCTCCCTACCTACAGTATGGTATGCCCTTCCAGACCACCTTAGGATTCACACAGACAGTGGACACTTTTAAGAAAGAACATAAAACCTTTGTTTTTAGAAAAACATATAGCCAAATGCTGTTATGACCATTTATGCATTCATATATTTGAAAAATATTTGCTCTTGCAGCACTTTAAGACTTAGAATCTAATTTAAAGTGCATTAAAAATAAAATGTATTTATATTATTTTCATCCTAATTGCACAAGTGGTATGAGAATTGAATCTGCTTTTCTTTTTGGTGAATCTAAAATTGATTGAAGCACAGACCCTCCTCTAGCCTAACTGTTTGGACAATTCCATTTTGTGGAATGGGGGAATACATATTTTATTATAATTTAGACTGCTTGGGTTGTGCTTTTATTTAAGGTCATTGTGTTATTACAAAAAAAGATGTATTTATGTAATGATGTTTGGAGGTGGACACACCTGTGTCCCCCCAGGATTTCCGACTATGTTTCACAGCTTAGCAGACATAGTAACCACCTAATCATAGGGTAATTTTGGCAATTGACAGCATAATGGCCAGTTATGGTCAAATGTGTTGGCAAGAACCCAAGCTGTAATCTGTACCATCAGTTTAAAGTCTCACAAATCAGAGATTAAAACTGATTACTGCAATTCTACCTGATGACAAAATGTCTGACTGTCCTTTATGCTGTCTGTGTACAATATTAAAGTAAGAGAAGAAAACAAAAGTCTTTAACAAAAAAAAAAAAAACTAAAATGTTGTTATTGAATTAAAATATGAAGTTTAATGAGGAAACTTAAGTTAACTTGGAGATAATAAGAATTTCAATTCTAACATTTCTGGAGTTTTTGTTTTTTTTTAGTAAATCTATTCCAAAAGCAAGTACAGGTTACTTGCACACATGTGTTTTAAAACATTTACTTAATTTGATTATATTTTGATATATTGATATATATTTACAATTTAAGTGGAAAACACAGCTTTTAATATACAAATATAACATCATACAAATTATTTAAAAAAAAACATGTTTGAACTGAAATTTAGGTTTACTGTGGATTTAATGATATTGTGAAAACATCCATGCTTGAAGTGCTTCCTTTTTTTCTAACTTCAGGCTGCAACATAGCACAGCGTCTGCCCTATTAATGGTTCACAATGAAATTTGGAAGGTGCCCTTTTTTCCTGAGCTGTCAGACCTTACAATGGCCTTTAACAGTATCAATCATTCTGTCTTTTTGTCATAGTTAAGCTACTATGTTGATATCTGAAGTCCCAGTGCTTAAATAGTTTACATCCTATCAAAGCTAAAAAACATTTGCCTTTTCACTGTAATAAATATTATCCTCTACCTGTCTTTTAATACTGGTAACAAATTCTACAGTTCTTTCTAGAACAAATGTCCTGTTTTTAAAAAACAATAGAATGAATACAATATGTCCATGGAAAATATAATTTATTACATTAGTTCCTTTAATTATAAATGTAATAAAACTAGCAATAAGGCAAATATTTTTGAAAAGACTAAATTGAACAACCATATTTAAGTTTTGACAAACTTTTAATTTCAGAAAAAGTTGAGTAATTTAGAAGTAAAGTGTATTTATGAACCACCTTTCACAGATTTAGCACTCACAAGTTGACTTGTTTACACTATGCTGACTTTGAGAGTTACCTCTGTTACAACCTTACTCAACTAGCTGCCTTTTCATTTTAGAAAAGATCATAAACTTACGGTAGGTGTTTTTCTTTTAAACTTTTAATGTTCTCGCCCTGTCATGCTTAATTCTTAAACTATCTGCTTGCATTTTAGATCCATGATGTCCCTGCCTTGGTTCTTCTAAAATGTTTTAAAAACTAAATAGAAAATGACATGACCACAACTTTTCATATAAGGCACCTATACTTCCTCTCGGTTTAATCACACAACTTAGCTTTTCAAAATACAAACTTCGGGTCATTTTGTTTAGGAGGGCTTTTAATAATAAGGCTTTAATTCTAGATTTCTTTCTGTTTTTTATTCTTTTATCATATATTCTATCTGAATTATTTTCCTGTAGAACACTTTAGCTGTCTGATTTACTGTTGCAAGGGACTACATTTTTCAATGAATTAAAAAAGAAACAGAAGAAAAAATATTTCTATTTATTCATTTTGTAAGAACTCATACTCAGTTTCATTGTTACACACATACACGGATGCTAAGACATACAAACAGAGATGATAAAGACAACAGAGAGAGTGGGAGATTAAGGAATATTTGTACAAATGAATAACTAAAATTTTGATCATCACCACATTTTATGGACCTACGATCTGATCTACAAAATTTAGTTGGACTTTTTATTATGTGGTTTAAGAACACCTCGTTTATAATCTAAGGTACCTGAATTTAAAAAAAACATGCAAGAATGGCACCATTTTAATAAAGTATGCATTATTTTATCCTACATAACTTTACATTTGTCTATGTGTAGCACCTTATCACCAAAAAATTAAGATGAAAATACTCCTTGCACTTTTCCCCCCCGTCCTTATTCAGATTTTGCAAAGAGCACTGCAAATGTCTTGGCTAGCAAAAATACCCTTGACAGATGTCAGGTGTTTTTGATCTTTTTTATTATTATTATTATTATTCATTCAAGAAGTTTCTTTTTAGCAAAAAACACAAGTTCATGTTTTATTTTTTCTGATTTGAAAAAGTCGATATAAAGGAGGAGGTGTGTAACTATTTTTCCAACTTACTTTAAATCCATGTTAAAATCTTACAAAAACAAAAGGATTTTTGTTGACTGTATACATATAGATGGAAGTTAACCCCTAGACTGAGCTCCTCTCCAGTGAAGAGGCTGTAAACTAACTGTAACTGAATTCAGCACCATGGACAGTGGACATCAAACTTTTTTTTCCCCCCACTGCAAACCTTTTTAAAGTAATAGTGCAAAAGACAATGCACAGACCACAAAGAATGGTGCTACCATTCATCACACTTCTAAAACCAAAAGTTTTTAAAGTCCAAAGCATTTGTTTACATGTTTGCTAACGTGTTGACAAGCGAGCAGTTTACTACACCTGTTTTTGAATTGAAGCAGTGATCAGATTAGCAAGAAATAAAGAGATAGAGCAGGAATTAAAGTGCTGCTTCAACTTTTAACTTAGTATTATCAATTACAGTATATTAAAATGCATATATTGCTAGCAGACTTGTGCTACTCGGCCTGTTATTGCAGTCAGAATTGCTTAGTTTTCCCCTTAATAAAAGCTGCAACGCTAATTATCAGCCGCTGTAGAATTGGTTCGCCCTAAAAGCGGATTGTTTTGTGTCCATATTTACAGTTCCACGAACAATATTGCATATAAAAACGACAAACTGCGTTATGTAGCTAGGCCTGGGCTAACAGACAGATGTTTTGTGTTGTATCTGAGACTTAGTGGGATTTAACGCACTCAATTAACGGCTAATAAAGCCACGCGGTGACCAGCGCGTCGCAAAACTTACCCAGGACGAAGAAAGGAAGCTCGGTGTTTTCCAGGTCGTCCACAACAACCACGTCCCCTGGAAAATCGTTCCTGACGGAGAATAGCAGCTTGGGCTCAGAGGCCGACGGACTGTGCATGATGCTCAAGTCGTTCTCCCTCAGAAACGGCAGCGCTGACACGGTGACGCTCTTCATCTTGCACTCGGTATCCTGGCTCTGGTCCTCGTCGCCGTTCAAACCCTGAACCGAGGTGGTTCGGGCTGCTAGAAGCAGCCACAGCAGCCCCAGCAGCAGCGATGTCGGCTCCATGTTTAGACTCGCCATCTCCGTCGCTCTTTTTTCCTCTCACTCTCCTCGCTGTTTCTCCTGCAGCTGCTTGAGTCTCCCAGCACAGCGCCGGAGAGATGTGCTGAGTGGGGTAAATCAAGGGCAATCTGAGTGTGGAAAAAAAATGCAATTTTTTGTTTCTAATCATTTACATATTTATGTTATTGTTATTATTGTTGTTTTGTTTTTTTTCTACTACTCTAGGTATTGACTGTTAATGCCACTGACCCCCTTACTGTAATTGATCGATAAACTGTCTGAATAGCTCTGTAATGGCTGAGCATGGATTACTAACAGCAAATGCAACCAATTTGCCCTTAAGGCCCCATCAACAACAGCATCTTCATTTTTAATCTAATTGTACATTTGCCCTCTCATACTAATTTGCATGTCATATTCAAAGAGACATCACTGGTATCTTTAACAGTTTGCCTGACCTCTTTTATTGGTCACACAAAAGGCTGCCGCATGCATAATTGCCTAATTGATGGTGGTGATGCGCAAACCGACTAATAAAATTCCCTATGCTCCTACAGTGTCTGCTGCATCACAGATTTATTTGTGTAAGTTAGCTGTTTTAGAGGAATCACAACACCACTCATTGTGTCCAGAAAGACTTTAACTCTGTCATCTAACCAGTGCATTTTCTGCATTGAAGCATGTGTTCTCTGAAGATCAATGTTATGTGGCAAAGTAAAATCCAGATACTGATGGCTTAAATGAAAGTTTCCCAACAGAACATTGCCCAAAGCATCACCCTGCATCTAGTGGTTTACCTTGTTACCATGGTGCCTACTGGTATTATGAATTTGCTTGGTGAGCAATGGTAAAACATAACAGGCTACCAAATGTTGAAAAAACAAAAATACCCCCCCCCCCCCCTTTTTTTTTTTTGCAGGGCCAGTTGTGATGCTCAAACAGCTGTCGTTAATGTTCATGTTGGAGGACAGTGGTCAACATGTACTGGTGCACAGACCCCTACATTATGCAACAAACTGTGATGCATTGCAGTGCTTCCAACAGGGGCCTCTGTCCTGCAGGTTTTAGGTATCTAAAACAAGCAGGGCAGGGGTGGACTAAGGTTTGGGAACCACTAATGTAATGAATTTAATTCTTTACATCCCAGTAAATTGCTTTGATTCCTTTCATCAGAACCATCATCAATCTTTTCCAGAGTCTGGGACACATTTTGGCCATTGGGTCAGATGATCCTTTGTTCCACAAATTCACTAGGAACCCTTTATATCTAAGGACACTTTACCATTGACACACTTTTGATAAACGCTAATTACTGTAGACAAGGAAAAAATGACAGTAGCTCAATTTTTGTTAGTGGTGTGACAACATTGTCTATTTATCAGGATTTGACTCTAGCTAAAATCTATAAATTAATAGAAATCAATCCTTGTGAGTTACTAGTTACAACCATTACGCTAAACTCTGCACCATGTTTTGTTCTCCTCATATTTATTCTGTAATTTCTTCAGTTAACTTTTTATTAATTCTGTTGCAACTCCATCACGGAATCCACATGAATTTCACTGAAAACAACATTTTTAGTGGGCCTTTTTTTTTTAATTCTAAATCCCATGGCTGCTTTATCAAACACACGATTGCAAATTGGATTTAGACACAAAGCCGTAAGAAAAGAAGATTGTGTTTTTCTGTGTCACCACTGTCTATCCATTTAATATTTAAGCAGCTCTGTGGTCTGCTATTAAACTGGAATATCTGCTTGTCCTCTTAAAAAAACTGTTTAAAAGTCAAAAAATAGGACATGTAGCTTCAAAGCCAAAAGTGCAGTGTGGAAAAAAAAAACAACTGCCTAAAGTAAAATATCCTACAATAGAACTGATGTGATTAAATAGGATAAGTGGACTAATTTGTGTGTTCATCTATTATTTATGCTGGTCTGATTGTTCCTGAAGCTGTCATTGAGGATCCTATAAATATTTTAGACTATACAGGGTTTTTGTAGGTGTTTTCTTTTGAGTTAATTTTTGCTATTTCTTCAGTCCTGTACATTAGAGGGAAAAAAACTAGTTGGAGGATTGAAAAAACACTTGCTGAAATATTGCTTTGAATCATTAGAGGAATTTTTTAGATTGTAAAATGTCTGCCACTGTAAATGAAAGTGTTTGCAAATCTAAGAATATTTAACAAAAAAAAGTAATAAATTAAAAATAAATAATTAAAGTTGTCTGGAAAATTCTTTACCATTTATTACATCTGCAATTTTGATATTTGTGCTACAGTTTATGAACAGTGTACTCAGCAAAACATTAGTGTCAGGAGGCCTTGTAAAAAATAATGTTGTAAAGAAATCTACCTTTCTTTACAATGCAGTTTAAGTGTTTAATTCTTAATGCTGAAAACACTGTGTAATGCAGCAACTACAAGATTGCATTGTTTTTTTTTTCTGTTTTTTATTATCAATCTTATTTTATTTGTGTTTGTTTTCAAACATCAAAAGATAATGTCTTAAATGTCTCAAAGGTGTATTCATTCATAAAATCATGGCACGTTGAGGTTGACTGTGTGAAGACATTTTTTTTTTCTGTAGAGGGTGGAAAAAAACAAATGCGATAAAAGCACTATGCTGTCCTCCCTGCGCTGGGGAGTTCATTCTAAGATAAGCCTTATAGGTGGGGTCCACAGAGAAAAGGCATAGCCATCATCCAGAGATAGAGGCATCTAATGATTATGGCACAGGTCTTTAGAAATGAGGACAGCAGGCACCTGGAGAGGTACCCAGAGTTTCTAAGGAACTATGTCTATATCGGATAATTTTTCAAATTGCATTTTAGGTCAAACTTACTTACTTCTTATAAAAAAAAGTAAACATTCCATTAACAAAAAAAAAGAAATAGATGAGATCCAGGTTTTATACTTTTTTTATTCAATATTTGGTACTACATAAATTTAACCTACAAAAAGGGTTGTTGACATCCTGTTCTCTGAAATTTTAAAAGCAAAATAATTGTTTGTTTTTTTTATGCTGAGCATGTTTTTTTCCTTCATTAAAAACGGAAATATGCATGTCTATATATGTCTATAGAAGACTGAGAAAGTTATATACACTGCTTCATTGTAAATATTTTGCTAATAGCTGATAAACCTCAGTTACTGCCAAACCATTCCTCATTTATGGCAGTAAAGTGTAGTGAAATGTCTTTATTTAAATTTTTCATTAGATTTTTCCTAAAACAGACTGGACCTATTTCATTGTATTCTTACAAAAGACACTTTTAGTTGTAAAAACATGTCATTTTACACAATGGCTTTTGTGTTATTATGAGTTATTATGGACAGTACTGTTAAATTATGTGTTTTCTTTGGAAAAAGTGAGCTTTCAAAAAAATGTCTTCATTGTTTTTAAACAAGTGAAGTAAAGGGACCAACAATAACACAGTTTTTCTTGTTTCTTAGTGAGGTCAAAAATCTGCAAGGTGAACAAAAAAGAAAAAAAGGATCAGCCCACGGTTCCAGATTCTTCTGATGATATTTATTTGGTACTTTTAACCCTTTAAAGCCCGATCCAAGAATAAAACAAAACAGAAAATTACTTTTTTTTTGGTTTGAAGTCCTTATTTGACCTTTTAACAAAATATGTAAAAAGAAAAATAATAATAATTTATTACTATGCGATAAGTCAAGATTATTTTTTGTGCAGTCTTCTGCCCTCTGTTATCAGGTATATCTGATTGTGTACAATAGGATTTTGAGCAAAGTTTTTACCATTAAATTATGCAAAAGGTGTCAGACGCAAAACATTTCAGAAACCGTATGTATCAAATATGATACATTTGGCATTACAGGGTTAGCTCTGACAACTCGATTTTTTTTTATAACCAATTTGCAGCACACATGCACTTGAGTGCATTAAACCACAATTAAACAGGTAAATAAACAAAAAACAGAGTCTAAACAGAGAAACAAGAATAAAATTATTAATTAAATTGACAAACTCATCTACATAATTAAAGGGTTTACAAAAAAAAAACATGTAATACAAGATAACAACAAAAAAAAAAAAACATACTTAAAAGAAAAACAAACAAAGCAACCCAGCAAGGTAATCAATGATATCATCCAACCATGTTAGCTGGAAATACTGGGACAAAGAATTTTTGAGTAAAAAGGAAAGCAAATACAATGAATATACTTTGAAACAAAATACACAAGTTCAACCTGTTGGGATCTGGAGCTGTACCACCTTCCAAAAGTAGTAGCTTTAACCTAAAAATATAAATAGATGGAAACTGCAACATAATGCTTAGAGAAACAACTCCGGGATAGGGAGTGAAGTTCCAAACTAATGTTTAAATTTAAACCAGATGAATCAGAAATAAGAATAAGGGACAAGTCGTGAACACAAACTGAACCACTTTGTCACATTAATGTACAAAAATGAATAGTACTTTTCCTTTCCCAATTATTCAGAAAATTTTACCTTAAGTACTTTTTCTGATCAGTGAATTTCACTTTTACTAGCGTAACCTTGTTTTAAACAGTTTTTACCCTTATTTAGTTATCTTTTATATCTTTACAAAAACTTAATAATAATTGCAGGGTGAAAAACATTTTGGCTCCTGACCAGGAGCAACATCAGCCTAGATGTACTATAAATCCTGCATTTGAGCATAAAATACACAAACATAAAAAAATACAAACAAAAACAAACATTTTGTGCTTAGACAAAACAATTCCACCTAAAGCAGTATAATGTTAAGATATTGCTCTCTGCTTTTTCTCATAATAGCTTCAACTCGTCTGTTCTTGTTTGGCTGTGACACCATCCTGGAGAGAAATATCAGCTGCGCTGCTGCTATCAACACCTTTGTTTGAGGATGTATGAGCTTGCAAGTAAATTTTATTATGTTTTTGTGATCTCCTACGTAAAAGTATTCCCAGCGCATCACTTCTTCAAAATTTTCATATTATTTTAAATTTTGTCACATTACAATCACACACTTTATAAATTTGGAGTTAACAGGAAAGACTCAGACTAAGTAGCACATACCTTTAAGGTTACAGAGAAATAACAAGGGGTTTGAAGTG